CAGTGGGGCCCGGGGCCGCGCGCGGCCGGGCCGTCCAGACACCGCGTCTTCCGGGTCGGGCTCCACCGGCGCAGAGTCAGTGCCGGTTCCCCCATTGAGATGGGAAACTTTGAGTGGATTCTCGGCGGCTAACAAGTGTCTGCGTGACAGCGGGGGCCGCCACACGTTAATTGACACCCCCCCGCACTTTCCCTCCTAACGCTGTTTTCTCGGACTGCTGTTGGACTGCCCTGTAGTCACAGTTTTATGGTGTGCGGAAAGGTCAGACGGGTAGCTTGGTTTACTAGATATTGTTTTACTTGGTATCAACAGTAAAAAGTGTACGCTTGTATTCTTATGTTGGTTGCCCTAGTAAAACCTGCATGTTGAGTGTAAAGGACAATCTTAAGGCCTTTTCAAAATTAGTCTATGGGGCAAACTTCTACTCTCCAGACTTTGCAGAGCACGTTCCTACAGTGCTAGGAAAGAACTACTTGAGTAGTAGACTAAAAGAGTTAGGAAATGCAAAAGTTGAACCTTAAACCAACAGCTTGGATTTAAAACAGCTTTTTTGTTTTGTTTCACTTAATAATTATCTTTGTTTAGTTTGCATGTAGAATTTTGCAGAATTGGACATGGTGTGATTAAACACGGAGCGTTTCTTATTTATAGAGGGCAATGGTAAAGTTTCGAAATTTCAAGTATGTTAAAATGTTGCTATAAATAAAATCTATTCAGCGTTTTAGATTTTATAAATTTTATAAATCTAAAAATACGCTGCCAGTTGTCCTTTGGGTGCAGGAGGAGGTCCTGGGTTTCTCCGTGCTTGTTTCTGGGCAGATTTTCAGTATTGTCAGCATGATATGGGTGTAGAGCCTTAACCTGAGTGAATAATTTGAGATTACAAGTCTGTTTTGCAGCTGAGAATAGACTATCGGTCTATTATTCCCAGTCTGGTGACCTGTCCAAGAATAGACTAAGGAAACTGGGTATTTGTCTGTTTGGTGGAAAATATGGCTGAGTTGATTTTATAATCAGCCAGAAAATGAATGTCTGAATGTTTTAATTTTTTGTTGTAAGGTTTAAATGTAGTTTCTCCACGCTGGATGTTTTCCCCTTCCTTTGCAAATAGAAAGGACTAGAGGATTCTCACAATGTTACTTTTAATGCGATTTGTAGCACATTTACACTCGATTAAAACAGATGCTTACGATATTTAACTGGGTGGATGTGTTTTTTATGTGGCTATTTTTCAGTGGTAAGGGAATAACAGGTAATTTGAAAATGTTTAGCTTCCTCACACATGCTAGGGAGAAGAATTATGTTAATTTAATTTAATTAATCTCTGCTAAAATCTTTAGGATGCTTATTAACAAGATATGGATGCTGTGGATTTTCCCCTCAACTTGATTGCTGTGCTAGCCACACACGACAGTATCTGGTTAAAATGTTTTTCGGTAGACCACATATAAAAGAATACCTTTTCTTTTGATAGTATATGAGTTGCAGTTGAACCTTTTTGTTTTGTCATAACACATTCCTAACCTTTTTTATGTCTTTCCTCCTATATCACAAAAACAAAAACCACTTTTCTTTCTCCTCCCCATCTCCAAAGAACGGTGGAAATGTTTAATCTGATGAGGTGGTTCTCGCCCAGGGATAATTTTGGTAATCTGGAGACATTTTTGGTTGCCATGCTGGAGGGTTTACTGGCATCCAGTGGGCAGATGCAAAACATCCTACAATGTCCAGGACAGCCCCTCATAACAAAGAATCACCAGTACCAGTTGGTAGTGAGTTGATTCATAGTAGTACTGTGCTCCATAAATTTTTGTGGCTGAAGTTTTGAGCTTGCAGGTGAAGTATATACATTGGGTATTTACATGAAATGTTTTGAAAGTACGTGGGCAGTATATTATCAGAGGAGGCAGTATCAATGGGTTTCTTTTTATGTTTTTAAGTTTTCTATAGTGTTAACTTTGTTTTTTAAATGTGTAAACAGTGAGGACAAAAGATGGTATAAGCGAAGATTTCTTTAGAAATTGTTTCATATAAGAAACTTATGTTTATTTTATAGAAAGATTTTAAAGATGCATATTAGCAAAAATAAAAATAAAGAAACTGCTGTTAATATTGTTTATGCAGCTTATATTTTCATTAACCTTTTATTATGTGAAAATTTAAATAGATAAAAAATAGAATAGTATTATGAACCCCTGTGTACCCATGACCTAGTTTCAACAGTTAGCAATTAATAGCCAGTCCTTTTTCATCTGTACCTCTACCGACTTTCTCCCCTCTCATTTTTTTTAACTTTTTATTTTGAAATAATTATAGACTCAAAGAAAGTTGCAGAAACAGTACAACAGTTCCGTGTATCATTCACCCAGCTTCCCCCAGTGACGGAAAGCTCTAGTGAGACATCAAAACGAGGTAATTGGCCATAGTACATTACTATTAACTAGAGTACAGAACTTACTCAGTTTTCATCCTTTTTTAAAACTTAAATTCGTGTACATATGTGTATACGGTTCTCTGTAGTTTTGTCCCACGTGTAAATTCACGTAAACACCACCACAGTAAAGATACAGGACTGTTCATCACTGCCAGGGAACTCCCTCCTGCTACCCCTTTATATTTGCACTCCAACCCCTCCCCCCCGTCAGCTGGAAACCACTCATCTGTTCTCTAGCTCTGTAGTTTTGTCACTTCAAGAATGGTATATATAATACAGTATGTAACTAGAGTTGTTTAATAACCTATTGAAGGTCATTTAGGTTGTTTCCAGTATTTTGCAATTACGACTAAAGCTGCTACGAACATTCACATACAGGATTTTTTTGTAAATACAAGTTTTCATTTCTCTAGGATGAATGCCCAGGAGTACAATTGCTAGGCTGTCTGGCAAGTGCACATTTATTTATTTAATTTTTTTGTGCTGAAGGTGAAAGTTTGTAGTGCAGATTAGTTTCTCATTCAACAATTTATACACAAATCGTTTTGTAACATTGGTTGCAATCCCCACACAGTGTGTCAGCACTCTCCCCTTTTCCATCTCAGATTCACTGTGTCCACTTGTCCAGTTTTTCTGTCCGTTCCTGCCTTCTCATCTTGCTTTTGGGCAGGAGCTGCCTGTTTGGTCTCCTATATTTGATTGAACTAAGGACCACATTCCTCACGTGTGTTATTGTTTGTTTTATAGGCCTGTGTAATCTTTGAAAAATGGGCTTCGGGAGTGGCTTCAGTACTGAGTTAGCAGGTTGTCCGGGGGCCTGCACATTTAGTTTTATAGGAAATTTTCAAACTATTTTCCAGAATGGCAGTACCATTTTACATTCTCATCAGCAATGTATGAGAGATCCAGTTTCTCTGCATCCTTGCCAGCATTTGGTATTGTCGTTTTTTTGTTTTAGCTGTTTTAATAGGTATGTAGTGACATCTCATTGTAGTTTTAACTTGTGGTTGCTTAATGATTAATGATCTGGAACATCTTTTCATGTGCTTGTTTGCCCTCTGTATCTCTTCTTGGGGGGGAAATCTCTGTTTTTTTGCTCATTTTCTGATCAGAATATTTGTTTTTTTACTGTTGAGTTCTGAGAGTTCTTTATACAGTCTAGGTATAAGACTTTGTCAGATATATGGTTTACAAACATTTACTCTCAGTTTGTAGCTTATGTTTTCAATCTCCTTAACAGGGTCTTTAGTTTTACATTTTACATTTAAATTCATAATCCCTTTTGAATTAATTTTTGTATATGGTTGTGAGGTTTAGTTCAAGATTCTTTTTCTTGCCTGTGAGTGTCCAGTTGTTCCAGCACTATTTGTTAAAAGATTATTGTTCTTCTATTAAGTTGTTTTTGTCCCTTTGTCAAAAATCGCTTGACAAAAACAAAAAGATAATCCAATTTAAAAATGGGCAAAAGACTTAAATAGACATTTCTCCAAAAAAACATATACAAATGGCTAATAAGTACATGAAAAGATGCTCAGCAGTCATTGGTCATTCCCAAACCAAACCCACTGCCATCAAGTTGATTCCGACGCATAGTGACCAATAGGGCAGAGTAGAACTGCCCCATAAGGTTTCCAAGGCTGTAAATCTTTGTGGAAGCAGATTTACTGCCACCTCTTTCTCCTACAGAGTGGCTGGTGGGTTTGTACCACCAACCTTTTGGTTAGCAGCTGAGCACTTTACCACTGCACCACCAGGGCTCTTTCATTGGTCATTAGGGAAATACAGATCAAAACCATGAGATACTACTTCACCTCTACTAGGATGGCTATTATCAGAAGAATGGAAAACAAGTGTTGGTGAGGATGTAGAGAAATTGGAACCCTCGTCCATTGCAGGTGGGAATGTAAAATGGTATAGCTACTGTGGAAAATAGTTTGCTGGTTCCTCAAAAAGTTAAACGTAGAATGGCCATATGACCCAGCAGTTCTACTCCTGGGTATATACCCTAAAGACTTGAAAGCTGAGACTCAGATACTTGTACACCAATGTTCATTTCAGCATTATTCACAATAGCTAAAAAGTGGAAACAAGTCTAGTGTCCATCAACAGATGAATGGATAAACAAAATTAAGTATATCCATACATGGAGTGTTATTCAACTGTAAAGAAAAATGAAGTTCTGATACACTGAATGACATGGATGAACCCTGAAAACATTATGCTAAGTGAAATAAGTCAGACACAAGAAGACAAGTATTGTATGAAATATCCAGAATTGGCAAATACATAGAGACAGAATGTAGATTCGTGATGACCAGGTGTTGGAGACAGGGAAGTTATTGCTTAATGAGTACAGAGTTTCTGTTTGGGGTAATGAAAAGTTTTGGAAATAGATAGTGATGATGATTGTATAATATTGTGAATATAATTTATGCCAGTGAATTGAATACTTAAAAATGGTTAAAATGGTAAATTGTATATGTGTTATACAACAGTAAATTTTTTCTTTTAATTGCTAACTAGATTAAACAAGTTGCATGTCATTATTAGTAGTACGTCAGTGGAGGAAAGGGTGTAAAAGCCTGGTTGGAGTCAGTTTAAGAGAAATGGATGGAGAGCAATTGATGGAAGACACAGTACAGTAATACCTTCAAAGTTTGAAGACAGAATCAGGTTAGCATATTTATGTTGGTCTGTTTTTGGGTTCTCGGTTTTGTTCCATTGCTCTTTGTTTATCCGTCCCTCTGCCAGTACCACAGTATCTTGATTATTACCCACTTCATTCTTCTTTGTCAAGATTCTTTTAGCTATTCTAGTCCCTTTGCCGTTTTATGTAAATTTTAGAATAAGCTTGTCTGTATCTACAAAAATATCTTGTTGAGATTTTAATAGGAATTTCATTAAACCTATAGTTCAGTTTGGGGAGAATTGATATCTTTACTATATTTATTAAAGAAAAAAACAAAACAAAAAACCCAGTTGCCATCAAGTTGATTCCAAGCCATCGTGACCCCATGTGTGTCAGAGGAGAACTGTGGTCCATAGTGTTTTTAATGGCTGATTTTTTAGAAGTTGATTGCCTGGCCTTTCTTCTGAGGCACTTCTACATGGACTTGAACCTCCAACCTTTACAGTTAGCAGCTGAGCGTGTTAACCATTTGCACTACCGAGGAACTCTCTACTATGTAGAGGCTTAGGTCTTCCATATTATTTTGAAGCAAATCTCCAGGTACCATATAGTTTTTCATAAACAGTTTTATTGTGATATAACTCACATACCATACAATTCACCCATTTAAAGTGTATAGTTCAGTGATTTTTAGCCTGTTATCAGAGTTCTGTAGCCATCACCATAACCAATTTTATAACATTTTAATCACCACAAAAAGAAGCTCTGTATCCGTTAGCCATCATTCCCCATTCCTCCCTCCTTCCAGCCCCTGGTAGCCGTTAATAAACTTTCTGTCTCTATGGGTTTGCCAATTCTAGACATTTCCTAAAAATGGAATGATGTATGTGGCATTTTGTGACTGCCTTTTTTTACTTTTATTTTCAAGGTTCATACATGTTGTAGCTTGTATCAGTAGTTATATGAGTATACCATTCCTTTTTATGGCTGAATAATAGTTCATTGTATGGATCTACCACATTTTGTTTATCCATTCATCACTTGTTGGACTTTGGGGTTTTTTCCCCACCATCAGTGTATGTCAACACTTGATATTGTCTGTCTTTCGATCCTAGCTGTCTTAGTGGGTGTGAAGTGGTATCTTGTGGGGGGGTTTTTTTTTTTGAACATTTTACTGTGTTTTAGGTAATAGTTTACACAGCAAATTAGTCTCCCATTCAACAATTCATGCACATATTGTTCCATGACATTGGTTGCTATCCCAGCAATGTGTCAGCACTCTCTCCATTTCCACCCTGCCTTCCTTGTTTCCATCCCTCCAGTTTCTCTGCCCTTCCTTGCCTTCTCATCTTTGCTTTTCCTTGCCTTCTCATCTTTGCTTTTGGGCAAATGTTGCCTGTTTGGTTTCATGTAGTTGATTATTCTAAGGAGCACATTCCTCAAGGGTGTTATTGTTTATTTTATAGGCCAATGTATTATTTGGCTGAAAGGTGACCTCCGGGAGTGTCGTGTAGTTTTGATTTGTATTTCCGGGATGACTAATGATGTTGAGCATTTTTTCATGTGCTTATTGGCCATCTGTATATCTTCTTTGGAGAAATGTTTATGAAGATCCTGTGCCAATTTTTAAATTGGGTTATTTGTCACTTTATTATTGAGTTGTAAAAGTTATTTGTATATTCTAGATACCAGTCCCTTATCATAAATAGGATTTGCAAGTATTTTCTCCCATTCTGTGCATTTTCTTCACTTTCTTGATGCTGTCCTTTGAAGCACAAAAGTTTTTAATTTTGCTGAAATCAAACATTTATTTACTTATTTTCTTGTTTGTGCTTTTAGTCTCAGAAGGCTTTGCCTTATCCAAGGTCATAAAGATTTACTTCTCCATTTTCTTCGCTCTTTTAGGTCTTTGATCCTTTTATAGTTAATTTCTGCATGTGGTTGAGGTAAGGGTATAACTTTTTTCCTGTGCATGTAGATACCCATTTGTCAGCACCATCTGTTGAAAAGACTATTCTTTCTCCATTGCATAATCTTGTCACCCTTGTAAAAAATCAGTTGGCTATCCATGTAACGGTTTATTTCTGGACTCTAAATTCTATTCCTTGGTCTCTATGTTGCAAATGATTAAGTGCTCCACTACCAGCTGAGAGGTTGGCTGTTCAAGCCCCAGAGGCACCCCGGAAAATAGGCCTGGCAGTCTGCTTCCAAGAGGTTGTAGCCTTGAAAACCCTGTGGAGCAGTTCTTCTCTGCATACTTGGAGTCACCATGAGTCATAATTGACTCGACAGCAACGAACAGCAGCATCATCCTTGTGCCAAGTACTACATTGTCCTGATTTCTGTAGC